CTTTCGTCTTTCCTGATATCTCTGACCTTAAACTGCAGTTTTTATTAGTGCCCTCTGGCCAGCAATTGAACAGTGAAATATATACCAATTTGCCTCCTTGCTCCAGGTGCTAGGTCTTTCACATTATCTTAGGGTATCCTGGGACTTGGGTAAAGGGCCTTCTTTCCTAAGGAAATTGTCCCTCAACAATCTTATAAATACCTAGTTATGTTCAAGTCAGTCCCCTGCTTAGAAAAAAAAAAATAAAGTTTGATGCTTCACTATTTCTTCTTGAGTAAACTAACAGAAACACAGGATGATAACTTTAGAGATGGAAGAGATCTAATTTAAGCCAACTTCTTCATTTTACAGTTTACGGAAGCTGAGGTCCAGAGTGGTGAAGTGATTTGCTCCAGGTCACACAAGTAAATCCTCTGATTAAAGGTATTCAGACTCCAAACCAGGGTTCTTCCCATTGCATCACACTGTTTGATTCCTCAGCTTGCCATTTGTAACCTTTCTTTCTAATCTTATCTCCCACTATGCAAGTTCCAGCTCAAGTGAATTACTACCCATTCCCCAAATATATGTCATACTGTCCCACTTCCCAAAATTTGTTCATACAATTCTCTCCTAGAATATCATCCACTTGCCAAAACCTTCTCCGTCTTTCAAAGCCAAATCAAACACACCTTGTCCATAAAACATTACTTGAGCTCCTGATTTAAATATGCACTTGCCCTCGCCCTCCTCCAAACTCTACATGATTTCATTAATATTTCTCTTACAGAACTGAAAGTGTTCTGCCTTTTATTTCAGCTGGTTTCTTTTTCCCCTTGTCCTTAGGGGAAAGTAACTTGTCTTTTCTCATTTTTGTACTGACCACAATGCCTAACACAATGTCCTTGGTTATAGACGACATTAAATATTTATAGAACTGAATCGAATTTTTCCAACCAAATCTAGTACACCATTGCCTCAGTGCTCATTCTGAAAATCTCTGTGGACGTTGTCAATGCTAAGCACTCCTTTCTTGAAATTCTCCCTTCTCATGATTTCTGTTCCACTACATTATTCTGGTACTTCTACTTTTCTGACCACTCCTTTCCGCCTTGTTTCATATACAATTGATTTTTCTTCCTTCATACCACTAATACTGGTCATATTCTAGGGTTTTGTTTTTGTTTACCTACTCACCAATTTTAGTTTTAGTTGTTTTTTTTGGGGGGGGAGTGGGGGAGTCATCTACCCCTATTACTTTAGACTCATTTTCTTCTTGATGAATCCCAAGTTTATTGATGTGACACTTTGCTAAGCTTCTAATATTGTATCTCCATCTGTCCCTATTATATTACTCTTTATGTTCAGAATGAACTTGTTTTCCTCACAAATTGGTTCCCTCTTTTAATTTTTCTTATCATTTTGCTGCTAACAATAGTCTTTCACTTTCCCAAACTCTAAAATTTACAGATTAACTTTAACCCATCCATATCTCTAATTCCCCTACATCTTGCTGGTATCTTAATTTATCTTTTTTATTTTCTATTTTTTCATTCCCACTGACACAACTTTAGTGCCATCATGTTATTAAATTACTATATGTACTCTAGCCTCTACCCTCCTAGAATCTGCTTTATATACTACTGCCATATTACTTTTCCTAATATAGTAGCTTCATTATGTCATTTAAAAATATCTCCCCTAATGCTCATCACAACTGCAATCAAACTCTTCTATAACTGGCACTTCCTTACTTGATTGATTCACTAACTTCCAACAAAAACAAACAAACAAACAAAAACCAAACCCTTTCATCCAGGTAGGATAGTCTTTTTACTGTCCCCTTTACATGCCAAACACATTCAGGCCTCTGTGACTTTTTTTCATGACATTTCCTTGGTTAGAAGACCATTCACTATCTTCTTTGTCATTAATGTAACTTAGCCCAGAGTGTGATGAGCCAAAATAGGAAAAGCTGGTTTTGAGAATCCAGACAAGTGACCCTGGTTAATAAAAAGTTGAGAATCTATCTAAACATGTACGTATGTGCAACAATTTGCTATTCCAGAGTCATGCCTAGGAAAATGAGTCTAAAAAATAGATCCCAAATCTGGAAATCAGGTACAAGGGAAAGGACAAATAAAATGGTAGGTCCTATTAGCCAAAGACTCAATAGGGTTAGTAAGTTGGAGACACAGGGAGGTGGAAATGTTGATCACAACATAGGCAGACCATTAAATCTTCATACACTCAAATGACAGGAAATTGGCAGATACCCATGACAGTCAGTAGTCAGTATCATGGTAATCTGGGAACAGATGCTGGGAAGACATGAAAGTTTAGAGACCGAAATACAGAGGCAATAAATCTAGCCCTTAAAATATGGAAGTGAGAAGTAAGAAACTAAGTCACTGAAGGTCATGGTGTCACAGATTTAGAGTTTGTAGGATCATCACATTTAAATCTCCCAATTTTACAGATGAGAAAACAGAGGCCAGAGAGGTTAAGTCTTTGTATCCCTCCCATACAGTACTGTGTCTAGTACAGAGTAGGTGCTTAATAAATGCTGTTGATTGATATATTTTACAAGGTTACATGGGTAGTACATAGCAGAGCTGGGATTTGAACACAGTCCTTTGGCTATTTTAACACTATTAGGAAAATTGAGCCTATTAAGGGAAAAGCAGGACATTTAACTACTGGCCCACATCAGAGCAATAGTACCTGGAGAGGTGGAGAATTAAGTAAAGAACCTAGTAACAATAGCGCCAGAAGATTTGATATGAAGTCAGCAAGCTACTGACATAAAGCTCCTTTATTTCTCCCAAGTTTATCACTAAGGTTGATCCCGCCATCTGAGACTGAGCTGGTGCAGGTTGGGCTCAGTTGCAGCTGCCAAGATTAAAAGGATATGAAGGTAGGGAAGCAAGGCAGAACGTTTTCCTCTCTATCTACTCATATGCCCTTAAAGTACTAGTTTTCCATGAAGCCACTCACAGTATGACACTTAAATTCTGCACCAAATAATCTCTAACCTAACCTTTCTTATTTTTTCTTGTTTATGTCTTAATTATTCAGCAATATTGTATACTCTATCTTAAATCTATTTCTTTTCAGTGAAACATTTTTGAGGTAATACAATATAGAAATATTCAGAGAAGTAACTGGTCTTTGACTTTCACTAGTGAAAATTACAATTATAACATGTAATTAATCAAATTGATCCAAACAACTACAGTGGCAGAAATTAGAGCCATGATATATTAAATGGTACCATCCTAAAAAATGAACAAATTTGACATCAATGGGTATTTATAGATTAATCTCTAGAAACATACTTCTTGTTATTCAGTTATTTTTTAGTCATATCCCACTCTTTGTGACCCCATTTGGGGTTTTCTTGGCAAAGATACTGGGGTGGTTTTCCATTTTCTTTTTACAGATGAGGAAACTGAAGCAGAGTTAAGTGACTTCTCCAAGGTCACACAGCTAGTGTCTAAAGCTAGATTTAAACTCAGCTTTTCCTGACTCCAGGCCCAACACTTTATCTACTGTGCCACCTAGCTGCCTTAGAAACATATTTACTAAAAAAAAAACTTATCAAATTATTATAGTCATACAAGACATATATAAAATACTGAACTAATTTTTCTTAAATGTATTTTATTTGTTTATGGTAATTTACTTAGATGATTAAAATGAATACAAACAAATATTCTCTATATGTGTATATATACATATACATATATGTATGTACATATATGTGTGTGTACATATATAATATATACGTACACATACACACATATATATATATACATACACACACACATATATATATACACACATGTATATACACATATATATATATACATATATATACACACACACACACACACACACACACACACACACAGTATTCCAGCTATTAGATAATAATAAATAAGTATACTTTGGTTTGTAATTAAAAGTAAAATTAAATACTTCAAAGTAACACTCAAGTATTTGAAGGCCATTTCAACATAAAACACTTTTAAAAAGTGTCAAATTAGACTGCAAACTCACTTCTTGAATGTGACTTGAGCTTAAATAATTTTCAGCCTGAAAGTAATTCATATTTTTGGCTACAACTCTCAAGGATATTTTTGGTAATGCAAAATAGTTTGTGATTTGTGTTGGTAGAAGAAGTATCCATTCTAACAAAATACTTCAAATAATTATGTGTGTATAAACATATAGGAAGATACAAATATATAATTATATAGAGATATATGTATGTACACTAAGCAAAAATGGCATCTCAGTGTAAGCTCTCTGTGGCAATTAGGTTCTATATGAATCTTAATGATAATGGTGGTGATTTATGAATTTATTTTAAAAACCTTAATTTAGTGTAAACGTTGCCATTTACTCTCCATTTTCAATACAAACAATGCATAAGGGGCAACGGTATAGTCTGATTTCTCTTTATATGGAGATCAAGGCCCAATGTTTACAATCTTTAAAAGCATATCTTGAAATCAAAGAAATTTTTAAACTTTCTCAATCTTTTTAAATAACAAAAAAACATAAGCAATGAAAAGAAACAAATACTTGTCAGCTAACTCAAAAATATAATTTTTGACTAATACATTTAAAATAAAAGTAAACTGGAACTTTGCAATGTATTAGTCTTACTCTGAAACTGAAGACTTATACTTTCTTGTCAATGAAAATGACTGCATTTATTAGTGTTAATAAGCATTAGCAAAATTAAAAGGGAATATAATTTCCTAGAATACATTCTTAATGCCTAGTTTCCTCTAAAGTTATAAAATGTTTAAAAAATTCTATTTAAAAACAGAACTTCTAGAACTTCATAATTTGTAGTTAAAAAAAAAACCCTGAAAATACCACTTGCATATAAAATCCTATAGTTATAAGTAAGGTCTAGAATAAGAAAAAAATCAAGGAAGATCTATAATGGTATGCTTGACAACCATAAACTACATCATTTTTATACACAACTGGAAAAGCTAGCTTACCTTTTTCTGAAGAACACAATGGAAAATGAATATAAACATTCCCTGTAGAGAATTGAAAATGGTGAAGAGATACGCCATGATGACTGTGCTTTCATTAATATACATAAGTCCAAAGGCCCAGGTCAGTCCTAACAGGCAGAGAAGAGCTATTGCACCTATAACCCATGACCTGAGGAGAGAAAGGGGAAAAAATTATTAAAGGAATCATTCTTGGATCATTACAGCAACAGCACAGCAACAATGTAGACACTGAAATGTGTATGTTTTGATAAATTTAATCTATGAAATATGTAAGACAGGTAGCATAAGCACTCTAGGATTTTAATGCAATAACACACATCTTCAAGTTTGAGAAGAAATACACATGAAAATGTTACAAACACAGAAATTAATCCAACACAAATGTGTATACATTGCTTATGTATGTATCATGAATGCAAATGATATGCAGATGTGGATTTGGCAAATGGTAAGGAAAAAGTTTATAAAGATAGGTGAATTTCATTGGTTTCACTAGGTTGATAGCCTGACAAATCTCACCAAATCATCTTTACACTATTTTTTTTGCCTGTATTTTCCTACTTTTTAAAAGCGCCCCTAATGTCTGTTAAAATGTATTTATTTATTTCTCAATCTCTGTTTATTGATACAAATACAATGTATGCTAGAAGGAAATTATGTGTGTGTGTATACATTATACATATATATATATATGTATGTATGTATGTATGTATGTATGTATGTATGTATGTATGTATATATATTTAAATATCTGACTGAGTTTTAAAGATTTTTCCCAATCCTAGAGTCAGACAGAAAAACTGCTAAGTGTCTAGGGACTTGAGAGACTTTAGTCATAAATGCAACTACAGTTTCTATTCCAGATAATTATCTAAGAATTACTTACTGCTTTGGATGCAAAAAAAAAAAAAATCCATATTGGTTCAGATGACCTTGATTTTGGTAGTCAGACTTTTTGCCTATTATTAGAAGTAATGGTCAGGTGCCAAGGAACCTTCACCCTTGTGTGAACTGTTAAGTCCCATGTAGCAAGATGAAATGAGGGAAATGAAAGGCGAAGGACATTTATTATGTGGAGTACACTGGAACAGAAACCAGTGCCACAGCAATAGCTTCTTGTATTATAAACTCCTGCCTCGATGCCATACATGATTGTTACTTGTAACTATTCTCATGCTTCTGTAGAGGTCGTCAAAGTCTTCAGATCTCTGGTCACATTGCTCTTGCACATAGCATGAAAGAGAGCCCCTGGTAATAAAAACAGACTCCCTTTCACCTCACCAGAGAATCTTGCTAAATGATTTTGTATCTCAACAAAGTCATGTGGCTATTTCACCTTTTTTTTTTTGTTTTTGTTTTTGGTAAGCAAAGTTTCTCTAAATGTCGGTGACTGGCATTTCTTTAAAGCTGTCTACTTTCCTTCCACTTCAGCACAGATAAAGTTTCCCATTTGATTTGTAGCTTTGCAGATAGAAATCAAACCATATATGATATGCTGCAGTTGCATTCAATGACATCTCTATGCTGGGGAAGACAGAGACTAAAAGTATTTTTGAATTATGAAGGGTATTCATTTAAGGTGAGATAACCTGGAAATAGTCTTTTAAAAGTGAAAAATAAAATAAGAACAGCAAGAGGAATCTCAAGTTTATGTAACAGTAATTTTGTGATATATAAGCAAGAAAAGCTAAACTTGGAATAGCCATTCTTAGCATACAGTCTAAGTTTACATTTTAATTGTTCAAAGAAAGTATTAGTCCATGTTGAAGAAGTTCAAAGGTTAAATTTAAGATGAGCTTTACTATATATATATATATAATATATATATATATATATATATATATATATATATATATATATATAATGTAGGCTAGAAAACACAAAATGTGAATAAATTCTTTAACTGAACATTGGTGGAAATGAGAAAAAAATGTTGAAATGAGAATGAAGAATGGTCAATTATTAAAATCTCGTAACAATTTATCTCAGCTCTTTTACTTTTTTTCCCCTTTACTCAATCAGAAACTAGATCAGATTCAAATTTTAACTGCATGCTAAATTTAATTTGTTTAATTAAGAAAAGTTAAACAATTATGGTATAGTGAATCCATATAGTTTGGCTTATGAAATCATATTTTTTTCAGCTATCCTTTTTCTCATATTTATATAACTGCACTAAATCCCAAAGGGATTTTCTTATTATATCCCTGAATTCAGTCAAATGAGAGCTGCTAGGATAAACTAATAGTCTCATAGAAGTGACCAATGGGACAGATGAAGAGAATATTCATTATGTGAAAGCAAAGATTCTACTTGGATTTAGAGCAAGGACAGTGTGAGCTATTCAACATTATTACCCTGTAGAAAACAAACTGTAGAACAGAGGGGTATAGTTGTATCAAAATGCAATGTGCTTTGGCTTTAAAAGGGAAAATAAGCAAAATTCTGATTAAGTAAAAATGGCACTGCACAACAATGAAAACAAAGGACTCTTCACCAGAAGAACAAACTGAAAGTTTACTGCAAAATTAAGCTTGCATTCTCAGTCTTATTTTGTTGTTTTAGGAAAACAAATCTTAGAGTACAAAGAGTAGTTTGTTTTTAGAAATTTAGCTTGTTGTTTCAATATATTAGTACAGACTTTAATTTCTGCTCCAGATATTTCTTTTCTTTTTAATCACGGGTGTTTTTCCCCCTTGGAAAAAAAATTAGTCTCATTAATCAAATTATAGGAAATGAAAAAATAGATCTAATTTGTGACAATTCTTTGATTTTATTCTGAAGGGGCCTTTTTTCCTTTTTCTTTCTTTTTTCTTTTAAAATAAAATATGGTGTATTTAATTTAGCAGATTCTCATTAGTGTAAGTAGAAATTAGGCCACTTCATACTCATACGATCACTTTAACAAACTACCACTCAAATCACATTAACAACTGGAAATCCAAAATGAAGGCCAAACATGGACAACAACAACACGTATGGATGCAGACAGAGGGACATATCACAGATGAAAGAAAAAGCCATTCTAAGCATAGCAAGTCTGTACCACATGAAATGACAATGGCTATGACTGTGTCACTCAGTTCAGGTGGTATCCAATTGAAACATGGGAAGCAGAATTGTTTGGCAATACACCTGCAGTGTGTTTACTCTGCACATAAGCTGTATGCCTAAGTGTTTTCCTGCACAGTTTGCTCTTCTGCCTCAAGGTGAATGACAGAAGTCTTAATGGTTTTCCAATACTGATTTGACAGCTGGTTCATGGGACCACACTGACAAATGAAATTTATCAGCCATTCAGGTCATTCTTACTTGATGAAGGGTCTGTTATCCTCATAGCTAAAGAATGCATAGACATAAAGACAAGAATACCAACATTAGCATATACTGACTTAAGGCATTTCATATGAAAAAATACCCCAAGTTCCCCAAGTTTCAGTCCGTTCCAACCTCCTAAAAAGCATCAAAGCCAGCCCTGGTACATCTACAAGGTAAATTCTAAAGTGGAAATATGATATCTTAAATATTAACAATTTTAAAAAGTTTCACATATATACATATTCTTCATGAAAACATTTCTAGAAATCCCAATATGTCTTTGGTCATGTGTGCATACAGCCTTCTTAACAGAGATATTTAACTTCTGATGAGATCACTTTTCTTTAGAGAAATCCAATGTCAGAGTCCTAGAAAGGCTTAGAGTACACTTAAAATGACAGACTCAGTGGTACCTTAGGCAAACTTACACCATGATATCAGTTGGTGTGATTACTTCATTATGGATATCGTGCTTTTAAATAATTTTACCTCTGATTATTAGCTTATGTGTTAAACCTGAACATTATCTTCTTTCAAAGATAATGGATTTAGATTATTTTTTTTTTCTCTTGGGAGAGGCAATCGAGATTAAGTGAATTGCCCAAGGTCTCAGAGCAGACACCGAATTAGAACTCAGGTCCTCCTGACTCCAGGGCCGGTGCTCTATGCACTGTGCCACCTAGCTGCCCAGAATTAGATTATTTTAAAGCCATGTCTGTGATGGAAAAATTAGGAGGGGGGGAGGGGAGGAAGGGGAGGAAAGAGATGGCCTATTCGTTTTCAGTTTGATAAGGGAATGTTGTATAGTAATATATAACTAGGCGAAAAATAGATAGGGGAGAAAGCCATATATCCCACCCAGAAAAATATTTTTAACTCCCGTGTTTTCAGGTCTGGATGACTCCGAGGGTTTTGCTTACTGGTTATAAAAAAGGGGACAGAAAAAGAAACAGAACCACATTCTCCTATTTATTTCCCACTTCATAGAGCTGGATGGTAATGGTAATCACACTACATATTGAATAAGTATCCATATTATGCATACACTACCAAAATACACTGTGAAGGTCAAATGTTGATCCTATTCACAAATTAATTGATTCTATCCTGTAACTGATTAAGTCATGGTTCTTTTCTCTGAACTTAGTTCAGAAATTCAGCTGGCCTATAATGAATTAAATTTAGAAAAGCAGTTCTCTTGGTAATCACTTTTATTTTTGCCTTAAAGAAATTTGCTGTCCTTTGAGGATGTGAGTAAGCACCAGGGAATCTAGTCTAGTATCTTTATACCACCAAGCTATCTTTCAAGGATGTCTGGTTTGCTCTCCAAAGAAGTCTAGGCATTATTTGTAACCCTGCAGGTAGACTCAAACAATGAACATTTCTTAGTCACAGAAAGGAAAGAGGGTGTTGTTGCTAGCCACTCCTTCCTAACTTCTAACCAATCATATTGTCCCCCACACTTCAGATATGTAACCAGTCATGTTGTCCTCACCTCCATGAGGACACCTACCCTATAACTAATTATATTATTTCGTCATTTACCCTGTTCTGTTCTTTGTTCTAATCTTATAAAAAGGAACTGAGTATCCCAACTCAGGGTCTTTGGCTTAAAACTGAGGCTACCATTGACCCAGTATGTTGGCAGGTACATGCCCTACTAATAAATTGTTATCTTGCTCAGAGAATATCTACTGAATTTCACTGACAACAACATTGAGGACATATCTGTACAACATCTCTTTAAAGATACATGTCTGTACAATAAGATGTGAGATTTAATACCAAAATAATAATATGTAATCTTCACTTTCCAGGATAATGGAATTTCAAGTAAGATCATATTGACAATTTAGGAAATGGGGCCAAAAGGAAAAAAAACCAAATCTTAGCTCTCTGATTAATAGATAAGTACATTTAAGTGCTTTTAATAATAATACTGGACAAGGAGAGTGTGTACAAATAATAGGCAGGGAAAGTACGTCAACATGGGAAAGGCAAAGTTTTTTGATAAACATCATCATGGAAGAAGCGCATTTTCAGATGTTTAAATGAGTTCCTTTTGGATGTCACAAACTTGATGTCCCATGGACACATTAAACTCAAATTGTCTAAAACCAAACTCATTATCTTTTCCCCAAAATCTTCCCCTCTTCTGAACTTCCTAATTATTGTCTAGGGCACCACAATTCCCACCCATCACTCGTTCCCATGACCTTGGTATCATTCCAACTTCTCATTCATATTCACTCCACACATCTGACCAGTTGTTAAGTCTTGTCATTTCTACCTCCCCATATCTGTCCTCTTTTTTCCACTGACACAGCTACCATCCTGATGTAGGTCCTTATCATCTGGCACATGCACCTGCAAGAGTCTGCTAGTGTGTCTCCCTGCCACAAGCCTCTCCTATGCATTGTCCACTCAGCTGCCAAAGTGATTTTCCTAAAGCTCACATCAGATGTCAACCATTCTCTCTTTCATAAATAAACTTCATCGGTTCTGCCTTCTTATTACCTCCAAGATCAAATATAAAATCCCCTGTGTGACTTTTAAAACTCTTCACAAATCTGCCTCCTTCCTAATTTTCCAGTCTGTTTGTACTTTACTCCCCTTGTTGCATTTTACGATCTAACAAAGCCTGCCTTCTTGCTGTTCCTCAAAGGCCACTGTGTATCTCAGCTTAGTACCTCCAAGCCCTTCCCCATCCCTGGAATGCTCTCCCTACTCACCTCTGCCCATTGGCTTTCCTCAAGAGTCATCTCAAATCCCACCTGCTACAGGAGTCCTGCCCCTCCACCCCCCCCAGTGCCTCCCACTAAGATTCCCTTCTTTTTATTATATGTACAACTTGTATGAAAGAGGTTGTTTGCAAGTTATCTCCTTCACTAGAATATCAGCGCCTATGGGACAAAGAACATGCTTCTGTCATTCTTTGAATCCCTAGACCTCAGCACAGAGTCTGGCACAAAAAAAAACAATTAAGAAATGCTTGTTGATTGATTGATGGCATTGGCCAGATGTAATAGAAAACTGTGTACAAAGAGAAGCATTACTATCTCCTAATAGTTCCTTTTTCATTGCTGTGAAACATGCCTAGAAGTCACAAATTCCCGTCTGTTGATATTGATGTTATTTATTTATTTAGTTTCTGAAAAAATGGAATTATTCAATATTTGTCCTACTGTTTGCCTATTAGGTCAACGTTTTCTCTTAAACAATTTTGTTCTTAAAGCAGGGTCCCCTTACCACTTAATTTATACAACACAGCATCATGTAAAGAGGCGTACTTAATAGATGAGTTTTGGCTAATGAATATATCAAAGGTATTGTACAGATAATGCAAACTCAGGCGCAACAATTTTAAAGTACTCAGTTTCCATGAATCCACACCCTTCACTTATGTTTCATTTATATGTATCATTAGATACCTTTCCTAATTCTTATAATCTGTAACTCATGGAGAGACATACTTGAATCTGAATACCAACTAGAAATGAGGCTTATATCAGAAGCACACATGAACTGCAAAATTTTTTAAGGGAGGGGCATTCAATCCTTTGTCAATATCAATAAAAATTCACAGTTACCACTCAATATAAAAATTCCTGCTCCTGCAAAGGACCGACCATTCATTAATTCTTCTTCCAGAAAGACATAAATAATAGAAAGTGATTCAATACCTAACGATTATGAAAGGATAACTATAATATGCCAGCCCCTTCAATCATTTTGTCAGATTTTGTACTGATTTATAGCACCTGATTCTATAATCTTTCTCTGTCAACTCCTAATTAAATCAATGATAATTTTGTCTCTATAATAGAAAGTTATAATCACAATTGATTCAAAGTTTCTCATGATGTAAAGAGACATTGCACAGCTAGTTTCAAATCTTAATAGTTTTCATCCTCATGCAAGGGTGATTTACTGATAAAATTTCATTTAAATTAACTCTAGCTACAGGCTGATTAAACAAAACAAGCTCACTGCCTCTATTTTATTACTGCACAAAAACATGGACATAAATATATAAAGAGCTGAAAAGCACTTGGCACAAATTACTAAGAGCTCATAAGTTTTCCTAAATTTTATATGAAATATTTTGAAAAAAAGTAATTCAAACTTGTTGCCATGCACAAATTTCAAATTCATAAGTGAGCAAAAGCTTAGAACACATTAGTAAAAATGAAAATATAGTGAAATAAAAGAAGCATTACCTTAAACGTTTTCATCAACTGAATTATGTCATAGTGCATTACATTCTTAGTAATCCATAAAATTCTCAATATTATCCAAATCAATAGCTGTCTTTGGGGAAAAATAATCAAGAATGTACTTTAAAGTTTCTTGGAAATAATGCAAATATGATATAGCTATTTTGCACTTTTGCTGAAAATCTCAAAATTTTAAACAATTATACACCTGCTATCACTATTTCCCTTAAGTTCACTCAATAATAGTTCACTCAAGAAAAGTATACTGGGCTTTAATTTTATCTCCCTAAATGAGAAAAGGAGACAAAAACAGTATGTGAGTGAAGTATAGACGGAAAGAACTCTGGTCAATTTCACCATCTTCACTGAAGAAGACGAGACATTAGGGCATAAATGGTCACATGCTAGGTTTGGATTAGACCTAATGATCAACTTTTTCTAATGCAGTTGAAACATTTCAGTGGGTTACCAGAGAACATTGAGGGATTTCCTTCATGTAATTAAAAAAAAAAAAAGGATAAATGTACATCTCTTTGGGATAGTTATATGTGTAATACTCATTCAAATTGGTGCCTACCTAATCTTTCAAGCTCACGTTTACCAAGCCCTTTCTCACATAATAATGTTAGCTCATACATAATTCAATACTTTAGTGCATCTGTGATGTTGGTCCTCCTTCCAACAACACACTTTTGCTTTCCCGTCTTATGCAATTCTTGCACACACTCCCCAATAAATCTTTCTCAGAGTATCTACCCAACCACACTGGTGGCTATTTTCTAGATATTTAAACATTCACTGGGT